AAATGAGATGTGAGTCGGTAACTTGTGCAATTGATCAATGATATTGTACTTGCTATGCTTCAAAAAAATTAGAAATTCAATAGCTTCATCCTATGTTACTCACTCATTGATGGCTGGTTTAACTTCTTTTCTCAACAAATTGTCGACCTTATTCCCCTTGCCACTAGCAGATGTTGCCTGATTTAAGTGCTTCGCAATCGGTGCAAGTGTACACGTCGCAAGTTATAGTATAGAAAAGATATTTTCTCCATATTGATTGGTATAACGCTGTATTCTAACTTCTTGTATTGTTAAGAGAAAATAAATTGGTACTATTAGGAGAGTGAATAAATAAATAAAATAAATGAACAATTAAATAAAAGTATATTGATATCAAGTGATAGAGATGGCCAGGTTATCATGATTAGTGGTGTGACAGCTGTCTCGAAAGTCTGAGTAGTTGATTATCGAGGCAACTCGAATGTCGTGGCAACTAAAAATAATTCAATTGCTGAAGCAACTGGGTTTCCTCTTTCAAAGCTTGGCAGAGCATTCTTCAATGCCTTATTGTTATTTCTAATTTCAAAGGAAAAGTCAATTGTGCATGCCTTGGTGATACATCCCTGCATTAACCATGGGTGAACAACAACCGATCTTGCGGTTCTTTTAGCCATTAAAATCTAAATCTTTTCCCTAATATGGATTAACCTTCACCAACATTCGTTGAAATAAAGATCATGTTCATTCGTTTCATGAATCTAACTCTCCCGATATTAGATAAATGGATAAACTCTCGAGATCCTCTCCCAATTCACTCGAAGTCAATTAAAGAACCAAGAATGAACAAACTTTGAATTAAAAATACAATCAAGAACTTAAACAAATCCAAAAGTTTCACAACCACAAAATCCCAATAACCCAAGAAAATTAATTCAGTTCATGGATGGGTGCAAAAAGATTACAAGATAAAGATTTCCCAATCCCATGAAAAGAAAAATAAAAAAAGAAGAAGAAGATCGTGCTCCCTTTTCTTTCTTTAGCCGACTCCCACTTTTTGTCCGTGTTCTCTTCGCTTTTATAGGAGATGCATGTATTCATTTTCTTCTTAGAGGAGAATTTTAATTCCAATAAAATAGCTATTGAATCTCTTTTAAATAAAAGATGTAATAAGTTTCTTTTAATAAAACAAATAAATCTCTTTTAATAAAAGAAATAAATATCCTTTATTTTTATCCTTAAATTCCTTGGAATTAAGACTTCTTTCCTTCTTTAACTTCTACGTGATTATCTAACTTTATAGGAATTATCTCCTTGTGTTGTGATTCTATATAATGAGGTGGACACCTCCAAAAAAACAGCTTCAATTGTAATTCCTAATTTGCACAAATTTACACACATCAGCAGTATCTTTTCCACAAAATCAACCAAATTGTAATATAAAACTTAACGATGAAGAAAACTATGAAATTATGCATGAATGACTAATAATTCAACTAGACTAAACCTAAATATAGAAATACTTATGGGTAAAAGGGTAGAAAATATAGTACTTTTATACGCTTAACACACCCCCAAACTCAAACCATTTCATGTCCTCAAGCAATGCATGACATCCACTTTTTCATACTGAATAGACAACATCACTCTTACTTTTGCTTTGTACATGTTACCTCAAAACCTTATCAATTTTCTGCCAATTAACTTTAAACCTCAATACAATAAGAAATTAACTCAATTCAACCTATGATGCTCATGTAAGTGTGTGCTCTTAGTCGAGAAGGTTCACCACCATGGGTATTTACAGAGAATAAAATAATTGTCAAATTAATCAATAATACAAACAATGTCACAACAATTAATTAGCTTAACTAGAGCTTCAGGTTATCACAACTACATACGAGTACTTGAGTAGTAAGATGTTATCAACAACGAACCCCCTAACCTTTGAGGTAAAGTCATCCTGTGAAAACTTTCATTCAATCATGCTATTCATGATTATCTTTCCTACTTGGTATTCACTAAGAATACTAAATTTACTTTAGCAGGGGAGTGTTTTAGAGTTAAAAATTTACTGTGGCAATTTATTCGGTTAGAGCCAATTGGGCACTTCTAGCAATTCACATGGAACTCAAACAACACTGCATGATAATTAAGTATTTTCCAAAATACCCACAAGTTAACAAAACACGACATTCAGTAAACATTTATAGCATCACAAGAATCATTAAGGTAATCTCAAATTATCTCTAAGTCCTAAGATTCTCGGCGTTAAAATGCTATCGACAATTATCTCATCATAGGTAAGTACAAAGGCTCAGCAATTGTTTATTTGTCGAAATGTCATGAAAAGTAAATGTCATGATTAGACAACACAAACAATGCAAGATGACAAAGTATGACATAACACATGCAATATGACAAAACTAATAACAACCCCCCAAACTCGAGATGCTACTAAATTAGGTGACTAAATGAATGATGCTAGTTATAAAACAAACCCCCCAAACTTAAGAGGAGCATTATCTTCAAAACAAATGGGTTAGTCAGAAAGGTCGTCACCTTGAACGTTGATTATCCTTTGAGTCGTTTGTTTGATTTTGTTTACTGCATGCGGTGGTTGGGAGCGTGTTACTAGTGGTGCGCTCGAAATCCTCTGTTCTTAACCTCATTGCTCAGGTGAATCATGCTTTTAGATTTTGCGGTCAATGGTTCTTATATCCTAAAATTCAAGAAAAATGAAAAGACAAATATTAAATAAAGAGAAACACAAAATGCAACATATAAAGGCTAAAATAAAGCAATAAAATAAAAAAATAAAAGGAAAAATTCAAAAAAAAAATATCGAAGGAGAGCATATTTATGCTTCTTCGAGAGTAATCACTTCCTTGTCGCGCTCAACATGGGCACCAGTGTAGTGCTTAAATCGTTATCCATTGAGTTTAAATTCATGTCCATCGATGGTGGACTTGGCACTCTAGGAGAAAGGTTCTATTACCTTGAACGACCCAAACCATCTCGATTTCAATTTTCCCAGAAAAAGTTTTAACTAAGAATTGAAAGGAGGTACTAATTGTCTTGGCAATGGTTTCAATTCTAACATAGGAGGTTGCTCAATAGAATATTTTCTGAGTTTACCCTCTTTACATGAGTAGTCTAATTGTTCAACGTGTTTACCCGGTCGATTTATTATCCATTGGGCTTCATTTTGCTCCCTATTATCTGATTCTTCAATTTTCTCCTGTTTAGACTTAGGATTGTCGTTGGAATTCTCATATACTTCATAATTGAATTTGTGGTGGCGTGAATGACTTGGAATTCTTCTGGATCGTCAGTATGCTTTAAGTTTGGAAAAACATTCAGTTCGACTTGTTAGTTATTCACTCTCATAGTGAGTTCTCCCTTTTCGACATCAATTAAGGTTTTTTATGTTGCTATGAATGGTCTTCCAAGGATAATAGGTATGAACTCATCTTCTTCACAATCCAGAACAATGAAATCAGCGAGAAAAATAAATTTATCAACTTTTACCAATATATCTTCAATTTTTCCCTCTGGTTGCACATAGGATCTGCATGTAAGTTGTAACATAACTGTTGTAGGTTTCATCTTCCTAATCTTCAATCTTCAAAACACAGATTTAGGCATAAGGTTTATGTTTGCTCCAAGATCGCATAATGCCTTTCCGACGTAGGGATTTCTGATTACACATTGTATTGTGAAACTAACAGGATCTTTTAGTTTGGGTGACGTTCGGTTCTTCAACATGGCCATGCATCCCTCCGTCACAACAATTGTTTAAAACACTCCTATCATCGTTTTCTTAGAGACAATGTCTTTAAGGAACTTAGCATAATTTGACATTTTCTCGATCATCTCCACCAACAGCAAATTGATATAGACTTGTTTCAAGATGTGCAAGAATTTTTTGAACTGATATTCCTGATTCTGCCTCTTCAATATCTAAAGGAATGGTGGTGGAAGTTTGAACTCCTCATCCTTCCCGTTTATTTGGAATTTTATTGATGGACCTATCATTGTATCTGGAATTGTCGAGATATGTATACTTGCCTGGGTATCCTTTGATTTATCAAAATCGAATAGGGCAATGTTGTTGGAGGTATCTTCTTTGACAAAGGTCTGCCTTGTTGGTTGGGTTCCCACCATGGGCTTTGCATAGATTTCAGTTAGATTTAGTACACTTCGAGCGGTGATTACCTTACATTGCTCGTAGCCTACTCTCTTTGCGACCTCAATATCACCGGGTAAATATCCTAGTGGTCTTGTGTTCAAATTCTGGGCAAGTTGGAGAACATGTGTCTCCAAGTATTTCAAAGCGACCTCTTGGTTCTGCAGTATCATATCAGTCATGTTAATGAAAACGCCAATACTTTTCATGAAAACACTATTCTCAACCAAGTAAGATTCAGTTTTTAACATAAAAGATTTGAGAGTATTTTCCAAATAACTAGATGGTGTTGATTTTTATTGTGGCATCAGTTGTTTTGGAATATTCTGTTGGAATCCTGATGTTTGATTGTTCTAATTGAGGTCATTTTTTGGGTTGCTCCATGAGAAATTATGGTGCTCCCTCCAGGCTAGTGTGTATGTGTTAGATATCAAATTGTTATTCTGGTTGTAATTTCCAACATAAAAGCTAGATTCTAGGTTTTGTGGACACTAAAAAAATCATGGTTACCGTTACATAACTCACAAAAATAATTTACTACCTTGATTATCTACGGATTGCTAGCTCATTGTCGATTCTTAACCAAGTTGGTTAAGGTAGCCAACTGTATGGAGAAAGTGTTTGTTAAATCAATCTCCTTTATCGTGGTATTACATCAAACTCCTCCTCTTCTAGTAGTTGGGAACTGATAATCATTTCTTACATGATGATTCAGAATCTCCATTACTTTCTCTGGTGACTTTTCAAGGAGTATGTCATTTGTCGAAGCATTTAGCATCATCCTTGTCGGTGTATTGTTGAGTTGTAGAATATCATCACTTGCGTCCATACTGGGAATCCGTGCATGGGACATTTGTGTAAAAACTCCTAATATCTCTCCCAAGCCTCATACATAGATTAATCATTTGTCTGTCGAAAAGAAGTAATATCGTTACGCAATTTACCAGTCATATTTATCAAACTAAATCTAGCAAGGAAATCATGAAATAAATCTGCCCAAGATTCTAGAGATCTGGATGGGATACTATTCCACCACGATTTTTCCCTATCCCTTAGTGAATAGGGGTATTATCTCAGCCTTAGGACATCCTCATGGACTCCTTATTGCTTGAAGGAGTTGCATATTTCCAGGAATGATTTGAGATGTTGTATGGCATTTTCTATTGCCTACCCGCCAAATTGACCAATTATGTTGATCATATTTAACATTATTGGTTTTAATTCAAAGTAGGGGGCTTCTATTTCAGGTGTGACAACTCCTGGATTGAGACCGTTGAGATTTTCTTCTAAGTAGTCTATAATGGGTATGTTCCTTACGATCATTGAGTTGCCCATTGCAATAGGGTCACTAATTGGATCAATGACTTGATCTCTAATTATTTCTCATTGTTTGTTTCTTCTTCTATGAAAAGCTCGCTCGATTTCGGGTTCAAATGGATATTCTGGGGATGTATGTCTCGACCTGGTCATACATAGTTGCAAAACATCAATTTGTAAGCTCCTTGAATCTGAAAAGAAAGAAAAATAATAAGAAAAATAATACTAATAATTAAGGTGTAAGATATTAAAAATCAAAGTCTTTATTGCCAATCCCCGGCAACAACGCCAAAAACTTGTTGTGTGATTTAAGTGTTTCTCAATTGGTGCAAGTTTACACGTCGCAAGTTATAATATAGAAAAGATATTGTCTCCACAAGGATTGGTGTAACTCTGTGTTCTAACTTCTTGCACTGTTAAGAAGAAATAAATTTGTAATAGTAGGAGAGTGAATAAACAAATAAAATAAAAGAACAAGTAAATAAAAGTAGACTGATATTAAGTGAGAGAGCAGGTCGGGTTATCGTGATTAGTGGTGTGACAGTTGTTTGGAAAGTCTGAGTAGTTGATTGCCGAGACAACTCAATTATTGTGGCAACTGAAAATAATTCAATTTCCAAAACAACTGGGTTTCCTCCTTCAAAGGTCGGCAGAACATTCTTCAAAGCCTTCTTGTTATTCCTAACTTTAAAGGACTAGCTAATTGTGCATGCCTTGGTGATACATATATGCGTTAACCATTGGTGAATAACAACAGATCTTGCGCTGCATTTAGTTGTTGAAATCCAAATCTTATCCCTAAGATGGATTAACCTTTACCAACATTCGTTCAAATGAAGATCATGTTTATTTGTTTAAAATATAACTCTCCCGATATTAAATAAACTCTCGAGATCCTATCCCAATTCACTCGAAGTCAATTAAAGAACCAATAATAATCAAACATTGAATTACAAAAGATAATCAAGAACTTAAACAAATCCAAAAGTTTCACAACAACAAAAATCCCAATAACCCAAGCCAAATTAATTCAGTTCATGGTTGGGTGCAAAAATATTACAAAATAAAGATTTCACAATCCCACTAAAAGAAAAATAAAGAATAAATAAAGAAGAAGAAGATTGTGTTCCCTTTTCTCTCTCTAGTCACCTCCCACTTTTTGTGCATATTCTCTTCTCTTTTATAGGAGATGTGTGCGTTCATTTTCTTCTTGGAGGAGAGTTTTAATTCCAATAAAAGAGCTATTAAATTTATTTTAAATAAAAGAGGTAATAAATCTCTTTTAATAAAATAAATAAATAAATTTTATTTTTATCCTTAAATCCCTTGCAATTAACATTTTTTTCTTCTTTAACTTATACTTGAATATCAAAATTTATAGGAATTATCTCCTTATGTCGTGATTATCTATAATGAGGTGGACCCTCCAAAAATATCTTCAATTGCAATTCCTAATATGCACAAATTTACACACACCAACAATATCTTTTCCAAAAAATCAACCAAAATGTAATATCAAACTTAACGATGAAGGAAAGTATGAAATTATGCATGAATGACTAATAATGCAACTAGACCAAACCTAAATCTAGAAATAATTATGGATACAATGGTAGAAAATATAGTACTTTTATACGCTTAACAACAGATCTTTTCTCGGATTCCTTGGGTTGATCTGGGGAGTTGCATCTACCACTTCGGGTGAAATGGCCAAATTTGTCTTCTTCTCACTTTATATCTTCTGATGCCCTAATGTTCTCTATCTTACATTCATATCTCCAAGGGACCTGTTGGTTGCTTTTGTAGGAAAATGGAGAGGGTGTAATTACTATTTTCGATGTCACCTTATCTGTAACCCGAGCTTTTGGTATGATAACCAAGAGGCAATTAGCATTATAGATTTCCCTATAAGAACCCTCATAGAACGAATGTATGTTTCCTCCTTTTCCTTCTCAATCTCCTTGTAGAATTCCATCTCTTTATCGTCCATCATCTTTTGGACTAAAGCTCAAAATTTAACACAATTTTGTATGCAAAGACCTTCATAATCATGGTATTGACAGGCATTTTCATTACTGAATCTAATTCTCGAGCCCGGGATCGATAACCCTACCTTAATCATCTAACCCTATACCTATCTCAATGATGATCTTACTTCACTCACATTAGTTATGACAATCTTTCCTCGTTCTTTAATGATGGCATTAACTATTGCACCTCCATGGTTCAGTAAAAGGTTCTAGGCCACGTTTGGTTGAACATCATCACCAATGTTTATAAAATTTTTCTTTCTCAAACCCTATAAAATTCTCTTGAAGGCAGTGCAGTCCTCAATCAAATGTCCAGGTACCCCTACGTGATATTCACAATGAGTATTTGGATCGAACCATTTGGGATACGAGGGTTTCATAGGTGCCACATGAAAACACGACACTACATGTCTATCATGCAACTCTTGGAAAAGCCCCTTGTAGGTCATTAGGATTGTCTCAATCTGCATTTTATCCCTTCTCTGCCTCGGTGTCCTCGAGTTTTGTCTGCTTGAGGTATGAATACTATAATGTTGCTAGAATTTATAGCATTATAGATACTCACATTGTTAACCTCACAATCTTTCCTCCTAACCGGTGGTTTCTTGGCAGATTATCCCCCATTGAGTTTTTCACTTCTAACATACATTTTTATCATTTCACTTAGCGTGAACAAATCAACAAAGTTTTTTTATTAATTCCTTATCAGATGTCCTAGGAATGGATCCCTTAGAGTGTTAATAAAGATTAAGTCTGTTTCCTCCTCCTCAAGCGGGGATGAACATGTACTGCAACATCCCTCAATCTTTGGGCATACTACCTGAAGCTTTCATTCGGTTTCTTCTCCCTGTTTTGAAGTACGATTCGGTTGGGTCTGATATCCTTTACATTCTTATACTTCTCGATGAATACCTTGGCTAAATCTTTCTATGAGCGGATGTGAGTCCTACTTAGCTGGTGAGGCAAGCACGTTTTCATCTATAAATGGAGTAATCTTGAAAATCTTTATAATGCATTTACTTTATAATAGTCTTATAATATATGCTACATATCATGCTAAGGATATTAGTTATGTAGTTAAAGAACAACTTAAGTATAAACACATCTTGCACATTGTTATTTTAATATGTTAAGCATGTTAGGATGGTTATATAATCATATTAAGCATGATTATTATATATACATCAAGGCAGCATACTTATAATACATTTCATTAGCCCATTTGCATTCATATTAGCTCTTAGGCTTTATACATTATCTTACACATATTAGGAGACGATATAATTAGCTAATAACATGCAAACATAGCTCACAAAACCGTAATCATGCATGGCAGCAAGGTATTTAGCTCATATCAGCTCAATACCATGGAATTACCTTGTTTCCTTGCATATGTAGGTATATTGGAGCATGATGAACGTTGAGGTAGCTTGGTGAATGATTTGGACATCATATGCAGCTCACAAACAACTCACAAAGTACAAGGCAGCTCATGGAACACTAAGGGAAGCTCGATTCAGCTGGAGGAGCTTAAGGCTAGCTAAACTTAGCTAGTTGGACTATTTGGAGTTGAGTTGCCAAAAGTGATGTCAAAAGTAGTTGACTGTAGCTAAACATATTGTTAAGGAGCTCACAAGGACTTAGCTAGGAAACTTGTTCACAAACAGCCCATGTTTGCTAGCTAGCTCCACAACTCAAGCTAGCTTGGAGGAGATACATGCACGCCCAAGAGGAAGCACATGACCAGCCATCATCCCACACACAAGGCTGCACCACAAGGCTCCTTAGAACACCCATGCGCTTTGCGTATGATCAACCCCCATGTGCCTTGCATGTGGTTCATTTAGGCGCCAAGATGAAGAGCCATTTAACCATTCGACCAAGCATCATATCCTCTCCTATTTGGCACCAATTTGAAGGGATACAAGAACTATTTGACCAAGAGATATTTCCCTCCATTTAAATTGAACCATCATCTCTATTTGTAATTAAATTATGTCTCTATAGGAAAGGCACAAGGCTGGCCGAATCCCCTTGTAACCATTCGGCCATGCCTCTCTATTTCCTATAAATAGGAAATCATTCATCATTTGTAAACACACCTTTTATTCAATATAAGTGATATTATTCTCTTCCTTAAGTCCTGGTTACTTTTTATCGACTTATCAAGTATTTTATACTTATGGCGTCAACCCCTTTCTTTCATCTTGATACTTCTGATTCCTAGTTCATGTAACTAGTGGATCAAAGTACTTAATACTAACCCTTGAAGAAACAATATAAAGATTGGGTCTTTGCTCTCTACAACATTGGTTTTTCTTAGAGATTTCTTCAAGATACTATCTTCACTTCCATCCTTTGTTTCATCGCCAAAACCATAGCCATATTAACCATATTCCGCTTCCATTTATCATTTAAACAGCCCACCTATTTCACCAATACGTTTACCAACCATAACCATCTATTTTTGAGCCATTCACTTGTGCAGGTTGTTTTGCTTCCTTCCTAGATCCACAATCAATTTGTTAAGGTAGAAGTACATTACATCAAGTGGTATCAGAGCTTTGGTGGAAGAAAGCAACGTGCAACAACAA